TAATAGAAAAGACTGGTATTTTTTATTTTATTTATTTATTTGTTTATTTATTTATTTGTTTATTTTTTTATTTTGTCTTAACTGTCCAGCAACAGCGTGGTTTACTCGAGTCAATTCAAACCCGGAGCGTGTCAGACGCATTGTGACTCAGCCGCGGTCCGTGTAGTCAGATGCTTAAAAGCACATCAATGCTCCCTTCAAAAGATGCAGGGAGCAAATGAGCTGTTCGATTGCCGGTAAAGACATTATGTAGTTAAGGAATAGTAACTCTGCAATAGTCTTTTATTTTAAAAAATGTACCATATGCTTTACACTGATACCATGTGTGGTTTCCTGTCTAGCCGTATGTTAACTGCGGGGCTTGACGTGTCCCAGAAGAACCCAGTCCTACCTTTAGCAGCGCGGTGCAACGACTCTGGTACACGCCTGAAACGTTCCACACCACGGCCAGTGTGAATGAAACTGTAGAGTGTAATGGTTTCTATTTTACACAAAGACATGCTGCTGCCGTAACGCGCTGCAGACGCTCCCGGTGTGGATTGGGGGTTAAGGTGATAGTTTTTTCTTATGGAGTGTGTTTTGTCTGTTAAAGAGAGCTTTTTGAATGACCTCATTTTGGAGATTAGTTGTCTGATTAGATTAATACGCTAACAGCTAGGCTGAGCAGGGATTAATGTAACAAATCTAATTAAAAATTGTAATTTTTATTACTACATGGAGATTCATGCAAAAAATATTTAACAAATTTTTATATCATAATGTAATAGATGTTAAATTCTTTGAATATAACAGTTGCAACTTTGAAGGAATTTCATTTATATTTAAATAACATTTTACTGCAAAATGTATCCCATTTAAAAATGCTGTGTTCAAAACCAATGGAAACAAATTTAGACATTTTATTAATAAGAAATATTTTAGATCTGACAGAAATCCACTTTGGAACAGTCGCAGCTAGCGTAGCCGTTAGCACATCAATCTGATCAGATCTGACTTGTTTCTCCAAACTGAGGTTATTCAAAGAACAGGTCAGATACATTCTTCCTACAAAATCCCACTTTAAAGTATCTGAACCATTAATCTCTAATCCTAGTCTCATTGCTTTACGCCCCTAATTATGTGAGCTGGTAAATCTACATATATTTACCCAGTGATCCTCCACGTCAGACTTAAAATAACCAGTCTCTAAAGCAGTGGTTCCCAACCTTTTTCCCAAGGGACCCAGTTTTTTACCAGTAAAATTTTTGACGACCCCCTCCCATTCTCTCTTCCAGTACAAACAGTATTAAGAAATGATAAAATTGTTCAAGCACATTTTAATATGCTTTGATTCAATAGATAACAGTTATAGTAGGCTCCAGTACAGAACAAAGTCATTAACAAAACCAAACAGAGCATAATGTGCTTGACAGTTTGTATTACTTTTCTGAACACATTGTGTCTTGTAAACACTGATAAATCAATCATTCCTTTCAATAAACGTTTGACACATAAAAATGCACTGCGCAACATGTACTTAAATGTGTATATTACTGTTTATACTAGATTATTTACCGTAAACACTGTGATTAATCAACCAGTCCTATCTTTAATGAACTTTTGACACTTGAAAATAAAACAGTGAGCTGAGCAAAATGTTGTTAAAAGTGTGTTACTTTTTCTGTACTAATCATTTCCTGTCTTAATATCAGTAAACTTTTCACTCGTGAAAAACACAATGTGAGCATAATGTAGGCTATAAACAAGTAATAAATGAAGTTTTAACCCCTTAAAGTGGAGAGGTCCTGGCGACCCACTGAGAGGCTTTGGCGCCCCCTTGTGGGGTCGGGACCCCCAGATTAGGAAGGACTGCTCTAAAGGGCAGTGGAGTCAAATTTAGTCCAAGAAGATGTATTATGACTGCAGGCATTAGTTTAGGACCATCCTAACTCACTCGGGTCGTGCATCGTGCTATTCAAATCAGACAATGTGAGCTTATTGGCCACCTGATTGTTCCAAGTGGTCCTTTGGTATTAGGAGCTACTTCAAACCATAAGTGGACGCACTGGGAACAATATATCTGATTGAAACTGCTGGGGATTGGGGTGTAGTTGTGCAGAGACTCCACTTGCTGAGAAACAAATGTATTATCTAGCAACCGTGGTATCATCGCTCCTCAAGCTTCAGTTACCAGGAGTGATTTTAGAGGTTTATTTTGTTTCTAACGACTTGTTAGATATTTTGTCCTGCTTTTTGAGCCAAGATTTTACAGCATTCTAACTTATTAAATCTCATTTATTGCACATTTTTAAATAAAACTTGGTCTTTTCGTCCTTCTCTTTTGAATAAATTATTTAGTTATCAAAAGTGAAAAACATTCATCTGAAAAATGACCTACAATCCTATAATTACTGTGTTTAGCCTTCGTTCCTAACAGTTAGCTTTGTTATAGCTGCGTTGTTAGGAAGTTTTCTGTCTTCCATCACAACACCATCAGAATAATTTACTCATAACCACCTGCAGAGCATGTTGGTACAGTCGCTCAGCATGTGGCACTTCTCTGTTTAAAGATCGTTTCAGGCTCAACGCTTGTTAAGAGTCAGAAAAATTTAAAACTTCATGCATGGTCTGCTTTTTCTCCACAGTTTTTTTCTGTTTTTTAAAACTAATTTGCAGACTTGTTACTCGTTTCACCGTTGGTGATCTCATATTCAAATTTTTTATTTCTACTTGATGGTTATTGGTCAAAAAGTAAAAGAGAGATGTTGTGGTTTTCATTTGGACAGATTTTGATAACGTCACAAGCTATATATAACAATGAGACAGGGTTAGAACACTCTACGTACGTTATGATTTGAAATACTCGGGGATCCGGTCGCCCATTTGACCGTGACCTTTTTAACATGGTCACTTCACTCTTCCTCAGGCATATTTTTCATTCCATTCCACCAAAATACTTCAAAGTGGTCAGGAATGATTAATATACATGGAAATATTCCACTGAGCACTCCGAAGCGCTGTGATGTCAGAGCTGAACCATTATGCATAAAAATACGCATACCTGATCTTACCATTAAGTAGAATCAACAGTGCTCTCATTTAAACACATGCTGTACACATATGTGAGACATAACCTCTAAACATGGATGTTGTCATGAAAACAGTCCATGTGACTGTAATTAGTGTCCTAAATGGTATAATAAATCCCATCAAGTCTCTCATTTCTATGATGTGACTGTAATTTAGTTTTCAGTGTGTTCTGGAGGTCTGGATATCTGTCTGTTAGATGTTTGCCTTTCCTATGCAAATGAGGAGACAATAAAAGCACAGCCACAAATGCATGTACTGCCCTGCGTAGCTTCATTTATTTCCATCAATGGATGCACCAGAGGTAATTTTGGGCTTTGTTTCATAAAGAGCGGCCTCCTACAGTATATAACTGCAGAAGAACAAAATTAGCTGAAACTATTTAATGGGCAGAGAGAATAAGTAGGCTGCACAATCAGAGGTTCAGGGATGTGTTTATCAGGATGATGTGAGGTGAAGTGTGTGCTCGCCATCTTTATCACTTGCTTTGCAGAATTGTGGAGAGCTGGTGCGTATCTCTGGTGGTCACCAGGCGAGAGGTGGGGGGACACCGTGGACAGGTCGCCTGTCCATCACAGGGACACAAACAGCAGAGTCAGACAACCAGTCACACCTTGAGACAATGAAGTCTCCAATGAATTATCAACAAGAAAAAAAATGGAACAACAGCTGTTGCATTGTTTTGGTTTACTGCAGTTTATTTATGTAGCACCCAATCACAAGAGTCATCTCAAGGCACCTATTAAACCTACTTATCAGTGCAGTTCATTATTCTAGTTGGTTCAGCATTTCTAACATGAGGAAACCCAGCCGATTGCATCGAGTCACTGACTTGTTTCAGTTCAGTTGTTTGTGTCAGTGACTTTACAGCAATGCTCATACTAAGCAAGCATGTAGTGACAGTGGAGAGGAAAACACCCCTATAACAGGAAGAAACCTCCAGCAGAAACTGGATCAATATGAGCAGTCATCTGTCATGACTCACTGGGGGTTAGAGAGGACAGAGCGGACCACACACACACACACACACACACACACACACACACACACACACACACACACACACACACACACACACACACACACACACACACACACACACACACACACATGCATCGGTGGAATTTATTGTATTTATTCTCTACTGCTCCAAAGATTGGAATCACGTTTTATCCCGTTCACAAATAAACTTGATCAAATTTACTTCAATAAAAAGATTAGCTACTATCTCCATCAGTCTCCTTACGGCTGCTAATTCAAGTCATCTATTTTCATCTGTTCTTTTATTTATGAAACCACTTAGTCCTAAGGAGAGCTGGTACCTATTTCCCGCAGGTGGGGGACATTTTAAAAGGCCATGTGATTATTTGACGATTCTTTTGGCAGCTGGGTTGCACAGCAGGATGATCTAGAGGTGGTATAATAGGACATTTGGTCAGAGTGGGAGGAAAGCATTTGATTGAAGCCAATTTCGTCTTACAACAGGATAATGACTGGCATCCAAAATGTGTCAGGAATAATAAACCTGACTAAAACTGGAATGATCTCTGGTCCTCTTGATCTGCTATTAGAGTAGCTCAGTTGTATGGTACCAAGGAGTCCATCAAACCAGACCTGTGTTAACCAAAATCATGGTAGGAAATCTCATCAGATCACCTCAGAAATGTGACAGATAAATTATAAATATTAAAAATTCTGCAAACGGTGGTTTTGGTTTTGAACCCCCACCCACCCAAATAAATTAATAGTTTTCCTCTTTTCTCTTGCCACACTACAAAAATATGCATGTTAGCTTGTTTAGAGATCCTACATTGTGTATCTGGACGTGGGCACCTCTGTGCACAGGGATAAATGGGTATAGAAAATGTATGGATGGGTGGGAACATTCATCAAAAATAGCCATAATTTCTCACAGATGTTTGTTTTGTTTGTAGGGTGCATGATCTTCAGGAGCTGGGGGAGCTCTCTCCACACTGGGACAACTTGAGGAAGGAGGTGATGACGCAATATGGAGGAGTCATCAGCTCCTATCAGGAGACTTTGGCTGAGATGGACAACATTACTGGTAAGAAAACACCCCCTCCTGTTCTTGTTTTCACTCACGCATTGCTGCAGACGTCCAAGCATACTGAAATGTTCCCCAAAGTTTTATAAACAAAATTCAGTATGTTTCCTCTCGTTTTTATAGCAATGAAACCATCATGGATTTAAAATCGATTTCCCTCTGGGATTAATAAAGTAGTTTTGAATTGAATTGAAAACGTTTTGCTGGAATTTGCAAACGACACTGCCCAATTTCTCCATCAGTATTTCTGGTTTGTGAGAATCTGAGTTCCTAGCTGGACCTGGTCTCACTTTGTGATGTGCTAAAAGAACAATAAAGTCTCAGAATGTCCCCGATGGGACCAAAGAGAGTCCAACAGACGAGGTGAAGAGGATGTCTTTGGGATGGTTTGCTTCAGTGAAGACCCGGTTTAGTCATAGATTACTGTCTGGCTTAAATCTGTGCTGGAAGTTCACATGGCACTAGGAAATATGCAAATATCTGTTAAATACAAATGAAAAATGTAAGTTCTGCAACTCGTGTATGAGCATTTAATTCATGGTTTGCTTGCAAATGATTTAAATATTAAAACAAAACCAGTCTGTTCCTTTTAATAAAGAACAAGAATGATCCCAGCCATAACAACATTATTAAAAACGTATTTATACATGTTGGTTATGTTTTTTTAAAATACTCCAAAGGAAGCAGCAGGATAATTAGAGGGGTCCTTATGGGAAACAGAGGGGAAAAGGCCCATTAGGTTGACATCAACTGCCTCTCTGCTCTACTAAACACATTCAATTATTTCAAATTAAAAGCTTATTATGAATCACAAAACCTTCTGAGCAATCACTCTGCACCTCTCACCGTCCCTCTTAGTGGTACTTTCTCACCGAGCTAATTTTAGCTCGAGCCAGACTCAGGAACGTTGTGGCTGACGGTTCATTTTACACATTCCTTCCATTGTGAGATGCTTGTCTCTGTTGCATTTTGCTTTGGCCGATTAGAAGATGGCTCAGCCTCCATGCTGTCCGCCGGAGCTCTGAGGAGGTGGTGGATAGTCGATAAAGTGGCGTTGGTTATTATAGCTCCTGACAGCTTCCCTGCACAGTCACAATACTGGTTGCCGTGCCCACCCCCTCTAATCTGGTTTGGCACCAAACTAATAGGATGACAGACGTCGCTAAACAAGCTCGGTGGGCAAACTGCAGTTGATTAATTATTGATAACTAATATGATTTGAAAAGGCTGAAAGCAGATACAGAAGGGGGCAGATAATCGTTGAAGGCTGAATGGGCGGGCAAAGACAGCAGACAGGAAGTGAAAACCTCATTAGTAGAATAAATAAATGATTCAAAAATGGAGACTGAGCTGTAAAAAAGATTTTAAAGGTCAAATAAAAGTGTCTTCTTACACCTGTCTATGTCTTTTAAATCAGTTTGAACTCAGTCTCTTCTTATGGAGGCATGTTTTTGAGTTATTGACACTTTTTCCAATTTTTATGCAAATGTCTGTTTTGAAAATAAGAAAAGGGGAAATGTGTAATATGTTTCTCTGAGATAAAATTAGCATTTCCACATATTTAATTAATGTAATTGGTTTAGCAGACTTGCTCTTGGCTCTGAGGAGTGCTGCCCTTAAATAGGATTATTTGTGCAATTATTTTAAATAGCTGCTCAAGCAACTGAAGGTCAGAAGTGAACCAGGGGGATGGTGACGTGCTGAAACAACTCTCACGTTGCTGCTTGTCTTTCATCTTTTTTTGTCGCATTTGTAATTTGTGGGGTTTTAATTTCCAGCTGGGAAAATAATGAAAATGAGAGAAGTGTGTGTTATGGAGTGATGGTGGGGAAAAGAGAAGTCCTTCAGGAGGTCAAAAATTTCATGACTTCTTTTTCATTTCATTCCATTTTAAAGATAAACAGATCTACTACATATTAAAAAAGAGTTCAGGCAACTAAAGTAGAAAATAAAAAAAGAATGAATTGTTGCTCTGCTGTAGGTAAGGTTAGGGCTAGTCTTGCTTTGGAGAAAACAGATTCAGTCTGATACGACTGATAAGCTAACAGCTAGTCAGAGCACAGCTATGACCAAAATGGATTGTTTTAGTTTTCAAATTTTCATATCAGTGTCTGCAAAGTCCAATATATAAACCTTTACGCTTCCATAAATGCTGCATTATCTTTATTAAACAAAAATTATATTTTTACAGACAAATGCAAATAGCAGCTAGCTGCAGGACCTGCAGGGTGCAAGCCAAAAAAGAATGTACTAATGTTTGTGTCTAAATAACTGTGTTACGTGAGTTTGATGATAATGTAAATGTTGAAATAGTAGAATTGGCATGCATCTCTATGGAATTAGTTGTTTTAAGATGGCAACAATCCATTTGGATGATGAGCTAACAATAGCTGGTCTAATCTCCGTTTCTCCAAACTAATGCCTTTCAAAAATATTTCATAACCTTTATACAGACATCCTCTTTATGTTTTTTATTATTGTTTATCAACTACAAATAAAAGGCCCAAACACAATTTTGTTTATGGATTTTTAGCCGCCTACATCCCTTAAAAGTGTAGAACACTCATTTAACCAATACATTTGCAGTGGTCTCTTGTAGGAATTAATGCCTTCCAAGTCGTACTCTGGGGATAAAAAGCTCCGGTCTGCCTGTTTCAGGAACTACAAATTTTCCACATCATAGTTGAGCTTCACGCGACAAGACTGGCTAACAGCAACACGACTCTACCAGACTGTTTGCTCTGCAACACTGATGTTTTATCTCCACAAATGACACAAACCTGAAGGAGTTCTGCTGTGTGGTGTAGTTGCTAATGCTAATGGTTAGATTTTACTGGTCGTGACATTCCTTGCCCTTTGCTGGACTCTAAACCAACAACAGCCCGCCCCATAACGAGTCAAAATGGGCGAGTCCATGAATGTTAAGTGACAGTGTGATGTAGATCTGTCAGGATTTTCAAATCCAAGAGTCACTGTCTATTTTCCGTAAGAAGCTAAAGCAGGAAATAGGTGTAGGAGACTATTTTCATGTTCATCCTGCATGAAAACTCAGAAGGACCATAATCAGAAATAATTTTAAAATGATTTTTCAGTTTTCTACGTCTTTTAAAGCAGAAGTCCAAAGGTTTTTTTGTTTGTTTTTTACCCAGCTGCACCATCCAGAGGCTTAAAAATGTATTGCACCATAAATTGTCCCCACCACCTCCATATTTATGGCTGGAATCAACGACTCTTGTTCATGAACACACCCCTGTAACTGACCAGCAGAGCAAAAGCACATTGTTTAACAAATATTCTCACGTTATGTTTGTATATTTGCTTATCTATCTATGTATATGTATATATGTATGTATATATATATATATATATATATATATATATATATATATATATATATATATATACAGGTGCTGGCCAGTAAATTAGAATATCATCAAAAGGTTGAAAATATTTCAGTAATTCCATTCAAAACGTGAAACTTGTACATTATATTCATGCAATGCACACAGACCAATGTATTTCCAATGTTCATTACATTTAAATTTGATATTCATAAGTGACAACTAATGAAAACTCCAAATTTGGTATCTCAAAAAATTAGAATATTCTGAAAAGGCTGAATATAGAAGACACCTGCTGCCACTCTAATCAGCTGATTTACTCAAAACACCTGCAAAGGCCTTTAAAAGGTCCCTCAGTCTTGTTTTGAAGGCACCACAATCATGGGGAAGACTTCTGACTTAACAGCTGTCCAAAAGACAATCATTGACACCTTGCACAAGGAGGGCAAGACACAAAAGGTGATTGCTAAAGAAGCTGGCTGTTCGCAGAGCTCTGTGTCCAAGCACATTAACAGACAGGCGAAGGGACGGAAAAAATGTGGTAGAAAAAAGTGTACAAGCTCTAGGGATAACCGCACCCTGCAGAGAATTGTGACGACAAACCCATTCAAAAATGTGGGGGAGATCCACAAAGAGTGGACTGCAGCTGGAGTCAGCGCTTCAAGAACCACCACGAGGAGACTCATGAAAGACATGGGATTCAGGTGTCGCATTCCGTGTGTCAAGCCACTCTTGAACAAGAAACAGCGCAAGAAGCGTCTCGCCTGGGCCAAGGACAAAAAGGACTGGACTGATGCTGAGTGGTCCAAAGTTATGTTTTCTGATGAAAGCAAGTTCTGCATTTCCTTTGGAAATCAAGGACCCAGAGTCTGGAGGAAGAGCGGAGAAGCACAGAATCCACGTTGCATGAGGTCCAGTGTAAAGTTTCCACCGTCAGTGATGGTGTGGGGTGCCATGTCATCTGCCGGTGTTGGCCCACTCTGTTTCCTGAGGTCCAGGGTCAATGCAGCCGTCTACCAGGAAGTTTTAGAGCACTTCATGCTTCCTGCTGCTGACCAACTTTATGGGGATGCAGACTTCACCTTTCAACAGGACTTGGCACCTGCACACAGTGCCAAAACCACCAGCACCTGGTTCAAGGACCATGGTATCCCTGTCCTTGATTGGCCAGCAAACTCGCCTGACCTTAACCCCATAGAAAATCTATGGGGTATTGTGAAGCGGAGGATGCAATACGCTAGACCCAACAATGCAGAGGAGCTGAAGACGACTATCAGAGCAACCTGGGCTCTCATAACACCTGAGCAGTGCCACAGACTGATCGAGTCCATGCCACGCCGCATTACTGCAGTTATTGAGGCAAAAGGAGCCCCGACTAAGTATTGAGTGCTATACATGCACATTCTTTTCATGTTCATTCTTTTCAGTTGGCCAACATTAGAGAAACAAACATTTTTTCATTGGCCTTTAGAATATTCTAATTTTCTGAGATACCAGATTTGATGTTTTCATTAGTTGTCACCTATAAATATCAAAATTAAACCTAATAAACATCGGAAATTCATTGGTCTGTGTGCATTGCATGAATATAATGTACAAGTACACGTTTTGAATGGAATTACTGAAATATTTTCAACCTTTTGATGATATTCTAATTTA